TGTAGACCCGCAAGAGACGACTACAGCGAGAATGAGCGAACTCGTCTGGGGAATAAAGAACGGCGATCTCGAGCAAGTGCGAGATATCGTCGAAAACAAGGCAAATATGACATCGTATATAAAATTAAATTTCGAAAAATTTCACGCATCCTGTAGTTATATTTTGGTAGATCATTAACTGAACGCAAAAGAGGCCGTCGAACAATTGAAAAATAATTTCATACCTTGATCCTGGAAGTATATAGGAGCAGACGTTAGCAATTATAACACATTGGCACATCCCCTCAGTTATCTATCACCAACAAGTCTTCATCTTTCTTCTCTTTTGCATATCTTAAACGTCCACATATCACTTCTCAGAAACTTAATCCTAAATGAGACAGCAATCTAAAAATTGTAATAAATCTTACTGCAGCAGCACATTTTAGAATTGTAATAAATCTTACTACAGCAGCACATTTTAGAATTGTTATATATATCATATTTAGAAGGAAGTTACAAGATGAATTAACAATTTATCTTATAGCAGACTTTAAAATATCATCTGAATAAAATATTTTTTATTATAGCATCTAACTGTATATGTTAATTTAGGTGTAATTAAAAAGAAATGCTTAGTCACCTGTTATTATTATTGTTCTTAGGATATTGATGTAAATCAAATGATTGATGGAAGAACGCCATTACATTATGCAGCAGATTATGGTCAAAGCGAAGTTGTCAGATATTTGTTGGAGAAGGGAGCAAATGCCAATGTAAGTTACATTCAATAAATTAACACCTAAAAATAAAAAAAACAATTAAAACCACTAAATCACCAACAACTAATATTATAGTTAAATAATTGTATATCATGATATAATTGTGATTCTTTTTTTATTCATTATCTGTAAAAATTAAAAATATATACTGCCAAATACAGCAAAATTATATCGTAATCCCATCTTTTATAGGCTACAGATAAGCATGGAATCACAACATTATTGGCGGCAATTTGGGAGGGACATACAAACTGTGTAAAACTGTTGCTGGAGAAAGGCGCTAAACCGGACGGTTTAACGCCGGACGGTACAAGTTATCTGGATGCGGCCGAGAAAGACGAGATTAAACAGCTTTTGAAACTCCACTAGCATAAAGCTAAACAAAACGCGGAATAATAATTTTGTTATTTTAATACGTTAATGTTCCTCCTTATAGAGAGAGAGACTATTCCACCGCAGCTTTGTTTTGATTTTTTGCCTATGATGACTAGGATATCGTATTTAAGCACTCTAAATTAAATGAACATAGGTACGTGAATACTGTTTTATAATAATAATAATAATAATATAATATACTGCATGTCGACAGAGTATACAATGAAGAAATTATATTCTTCTCGTGATAATTAATTCTTCATGGTTCTAAATACATTTATATAAGTTACAGGTTTAGAATAATAAGATATTATTTCGCGCACATAATTGCGATCAGTTAAGAAAATTAGTTTAAATCTTCACAATCACACACATACTCACATACACACACACGTGCATATACACATACCAATATAAAATATAATGTATTTTGATATATTCTATAAGATGATACATATTGTTTGTTATTAATTTATAGAAAATTTTCCTGAAAACCTTTTTATACATTTTTATGTCAATTGTTTATAATATTTTATTCTCCATTTTAAGCCTGATATTTTCGTGATTAGGTCGGTGGAATTCCTTATACTCTGAAACAAAGTGCTAAACTGTCCTTTGAGATACTTGTGCGTTGAGTTGAGTTTTGAACGAGATATGTATAAATTGCGATAAAAAAGAAGTAATACATTTGCAATGCTAACAAGTGTGTAACGTATCTAATGGATGCTAAGGATGTACAATAATCAAAAGTAATAAGCAAATACATCATTGTTATATGAACACGTTGATCTCGTTTCTCATATCCAATTACATAAGCCACTCTGAACTTCATATTCCAAATAAAAAGATGGCAAGAATATACTTTTTTTTATATTACTAAATCATATTTAATTATTTGATCAATGAAATATTAATTAACACAATATGACTCATAGAAATAATTCATAGAAAATCAAATTCCGGGATGTGAAGTGGATATAGAGGTAAATATGGACGTAGATTGGTCATGAATGTAGATATAAATGTGAATATATAATGTGGAAAATCAAGCAGATATATATTGCAGATTTTTATACAAATGAGATAAAGAGTCTATTTTTTATAGTTGAGCTGAACTGGCTGCACTAGTTCAGAATTTATCATCTTCCAACAGAGATAAAAAAAGATAAACTCTGAACTAGAGCAGCCAGTTCAGTTCAGCTCAACTATAAAGAACAGATCCAAAATTTTTTAAATGATATATCTTATTACTTATTATACATTTTTACATTGTAAATTTTTCTTAGTAAAGATAAATAATGGCAGTATAATATGATACTCGTATTATATTATATAAAATCAATTGACGACTTTGTTAAAAGAGACAAATCATATTTCTACAAAGAACCATAATGCAAAATTTATAGAAGACGTCCTCGACAATTTGCTGCACCACATTTACAAATGATTACTTTACCCGGTATACTTCCTACATCGTAACTGTAATTCCATGTTAATTCTTGTCCAGCTTTTATGTATTGTAAAGCGAAAAATGCCACCCACGGGAAACGCACATCGTGCGTATCGACAAAAACGTTTTGTACAAACACGTTTGGATCGCAGGAGTGCTGAAGAAATGTTTAGATATAAGAATAACTTACATTTTTTAGTACATTAAAAATTCGTATAGCATAAATGCAAAAACGTTAAATCGTGATTAAATACTAAGATAGATATTGAAATACTTCTTCAAAGTTTTGAAAAATGTTAAAGTTTAAAAAAGATTTTTGTTTTAAATATAATACGACAGAAAATTTTTTTTACTCACATTCAAATAACGACCGATATTTCCAGTCGTTTTAGCATCCATGATATAAACGGCTTCATCTTCGCCGAAATAATCTCTTACGGATTTGAATGCTGATTTCTCTATTTGTTTTGGCTCCATACTCGGTTCGAATCTACTTGGTTCCCTTCTTACATCGTTTCTGCTCTCATCATCATCACTTATGTTGATTGTATCCTGAATTTCATTGGTAGATGATTTTGCCGTATTTTCCGAACCTTTCGTAATGCTTCCATCCTCGCTATTCTCTTCGGATACATCTGGTTGATTGTCCGTTTCTTCTCTTTTCCTTTTTCTTAGGCGTTTCCTGACGTAACAAAACTCTTGCATTTTTTTCCATTTCCAGCAAATATTACACAGAATAGAAAAATATAATATAATCGTCAAAAATTAAGATTCTTATTTTACGTAATAGCAATATTTAAGGAAATGCAGAAATGATCAATTATGATAAGCTCATAGAATTAGACATGTAATAAACACCTGATAGAGGAAGATTCCGCAGTTGTTTCCAACAAATCTTTATTGTCAGCCACGTAGTTATCGATATTGAAATCTTCATCCGAGTCATTCGTATTTCCCTTCGTATTATCTTCCTCATCGCTCACGTCGATAGCTTTTTTCTTATCATCCTTTTCCGCTGCTGATCGCGGCATTTCTGGTTCGAGAACATCACTCTCGTAACCGTCCTTGAAACCTTCTACCACCTCTACATAATCTAATTCTGCGAGATACTCATCGCCGTAATTCTTGCCTCCCTCGTTTGCGCCCTATAAATTAATATGTATAAGGAAATAAATTGATAAGCAAATCTCGAATCGAGATTAATTCTAATTATTCATACCTGTTCAGTGAGTAGCCTCCCTGCATATATGCAGATAAAAGCGCCATGAGGGATGTCATTGAGGCATCTTATGCCCCAACCACGCGGTCCCGTTTTGAACACTTGTAGTCTTAAGCCAAGAGGATGCTGCACTACCCTGTTGAGACACGTTTTCACCGAACACTTGCATCTCGAATTACATTCGTAAATTCCCGTGGTTACCGGTTCGGGCAAACGTTTATAAATGTAACCAACGTCAGTATTTGGCACTTTTCCTCCCAGAGTTGCTCCTTGTATGGTTAATTGCCAGCATTGACATTTTGTTTTATCCTATCGTTACGAATTATAAATAGAATAAAGTAACATAAATTTGCATTATATCTCAGTAATTTATAGTTTCATACTTGACAATCGTCCTCGCAATCGCAGCTGCATAAAAATGAAGGATCCAAATTTAAATTAACGCCTTCCGTTGGCTCTCGATCTGTGGTGTATCTTATAGTATCTGGTTGAGTGTGATCCAACTCGTTCACGCATGGTATCGGTACATTTTCCACGCCATAACTGAGATCCTTTTAAATATAAAATTACAGTGTTATTCATATTTTTATATCATTTTAATATAATTAATATACTAGTATATTCTAATATACATTTCTGAAATATTCATAGTTTTTCATATCTCTATGAATATTTTAAATAAATTTTTACATTTTAATGCAAGAGACTTACTTTGATGTTGATGAAGCACTTCTCCACGACAAAATCCGCGAAGGCGCGCACCCAGTAATCAAAATCGAACAGATCAACCGAAAATGTACTCTCAGTAATGCGAAGATAACGATGCAATTCCTCCATATTTCGCAGCCTGATACCACACGGGGATTGGTATATTATAACTTTTTTGCCCTTAGAATATTTACAAAGTTGACGATGCCAGCCACATAACAGAGGAACAGAGAGCGGAGAAAGTCCTTTGAGATCGTCGTGTGAAACTTTGATGTTTTTGATACATTTTGATCCACACTTGTGAGAAACATATTTCTTTGGTTCATATTTCCTTTGTGTATGGTAAAACTAGACAAAACATAGCATATGAATATACATAGCATGTGTCCCACAAATGAAAGAAATTAGATTATATTAATTATTATTTACTTACAACGATACTATGCGACGGTTTCGTTTCTATCATAGAATTATATGTTGTACTATCTAGATTATTTTGCCTTTTAGCAGTACTTTTTTTAGCTACAGCACGTGATTGTTGTGGTACAGTGGACGATGTACTGGATGCTATACTTGTAGCAATTGTTGCTTTTTCTGCTTGTGCATTTTGTGACACATCTTCTTCCACATTAGATGTGTATTCAACATAAGGCAAATTACTTTTCTGCAAAAATTATATGATTTGTAAATAGATGATATCTATGAGCTTTTTAATTTAATATTTTGAATATCGCGCGTTGATGCTTTTTGTATATTTTGACAGTGAGGACAATTTTACTTATTTACATTAGAAACGGCGGGAATACGATGTCGAGCGTGGGCGTTGCCAGATTGTTGAAGTTGTTGTCTGGCATTGGCTTTCAGAATCTCGAGATATAAAGGATATAATCTAGTTGATCCACGGTAAATCCATTCGGTTCTCCTATCAGCATCAAAATGCATTTGCACTAAACTCGCGTCGACCTGTACGACTCTTGCGAGCCACCACTTGCCCTTCCACTCAGTTTTGACCATCTGACCTGTTTGCAGTTTCACCATTGGCCTTTCGGGATATGATTCCAGGTACTTTTTCACAAAATCTCGCGATTCGCTGGGAACATCTTCCCAAATTCGCGGTGAGATCTCCCAAACCAGGAAAATATCTTTATGGGTGACATACTGAGCATAACCGTCGTCGAAAAACACTAAATATCTGCAATAATAAAAAATTAACGTAATATATTATATAATTTAATATTACAATTTATGGCAAAACTTGCAAAATTTATAGAACTATCCTTATTTATTCTTTGTAGATAAATTTGTTAAAGAAACCTTTGAACAATATTCACCTATATTTATTTGTAGATTTTGGCGGTTCGGCAATTATTCCACTATAATAATTACTAGAAGTAATATCGTAAAATAAAGCCACAACTCGTGTTCCAACTGGAATCATAACTTGACACAGTTCAGCTAACGCTACTTGCTTACCAAAAATGGTCTTGACTGCTGCATTGTATTTCTTTTGCAATAGTTTTACACGATAAGTCCATGGATTTGACGAAATTATAAATTGGATCTGTAAAAATAGTCCTGTATTATAATCTTTAATTTCTTGTTTGTCTAGTAGAGATGTGAAAATGAAAGAAAAAAATATATTTTTTATAAAATGAAGATTGTACAAACCTTTGCTTTAATCCATGGCATAACTGGATTTTTCATAATATAAACTATGCTGTCTATTTTTGGAGGTGATTTTACAAGTAGACCAGTTGGTGGTAATTTAGGGATTACTGCTTTTTTGATGTTTGATGGCTCAATTGCTAAAACTTCCAGCTGATTATCTTGTGGTAATGTGGCAGGTGGAATGCGTACTTGCGTCACTTTTTTCGTTGCCACAAGAGGATGGACATTTTCCGTAACCCCGTCGTTTATTTGAAGTTCTTCAAGCATTTTTATTTGTGGCCTAAAGTCCTCATATAACTCGTTACGCAATTTATCCATGGTACGCATTACTCCTCGTATTTCAGTATGAAGAGATTCATTTGTTGCTGTCAATGCATAATATGATATAAAATAAATCTTATCTAAATAATTTCTTGTTCAGATAAAAGAAGAGATATATAAAAGTTTATATTTTTCACATGCAATATCTTACCACGTATATCTTGCCATTTTTTTTGCATGTAGTTATACGCAGTTTTAGTCTGCTGCTCTATATTATACTTCTTGAAAATATGTAATAATGTATCGTCTAATCTATCTTTAATATCTAAAAGTACATCTTCTGGTATGTATTCTGCAAAAAGAGAAAAACAGAAAAGTTTTAATTTTTGTTTTGTTAGTTTGGTTAATTGTGAAGTCAGATTCTATTTGATTCTTTTGTGATTTTGAGATGAAATATTAAAAATTCAATATACCATCATCATCCAATTCCTTTTTCTTGCCATCATCAGAATCATCGCTATCAGAAATTTCTACTTCCATTGTATGATCCGGAAAGTGACAATCTAATAGTGATTTATTCTCTATAAGAGCTTTTACCAGTTGCTATAAATGTAATTATAATAAAAATAATAATATATTAACATCTCTCTCTCTCTCTGACATATTTTTTAATATATTATATTACTCAATTTCTTTCAAAAATAATATTTTTATAAAATTACCCTCTGATGTTGCATTGCAGCATCAAAACATTCTTTACAAATTACACGTTTTTTCTTTTTTTTGATTGAGACTCCATAAAAAGCACAGGCAAAAGAAGGTGCTATTATCATATTTAATCCAGAACGACATTTAAAATTGATGCAATTACTATTGCAAACTTTAGATGTTTCTGTATTCTCATCTTCATCTGACATCAATTCAATGACTTCCATGTCCTGTGCCATTTTTCTGATAATTGTTTTCCAATTAATATAATTCCTGAAAACAAAGTATTATTCAGCTTACCAATTCTAAAAAAAAAATATTTTCTAGATATAAAGTATATTTTTTTTACATGTCCTATTTATAAAATATATTCATGTAAATGGCAAAAAAATGCTTGTGTAAACAAGTGTAATTCTCTCTTACCTATAACTTAAAAAACTTTATCTTCTTTATAAATTATTTATGTAAAGATTAGTTGCATATTTGAGATCTACGAATAAAAAAAGAATAATTAATAAAGGAAAGTATAAACTTTTTAGGTAAAAACGTGAAAAACAAATTACTGTAATAACCTCTAAAATGTGCCGCAAATTCCGCAAACTGACAGCAATAGATACGTAAGGTCAGGTTAGTTTAATTTCGGGCGGTATTTCATTTATTGTATGAATATAATAATATTCTTATGAAGGATTCACATTACATTTGATATCCAATAGAAGAATATATTTTCTAGGAACAGAAGTAATAGTTAGAATCTATATTTTCTATTGGATATCAGAGTGTCGTATGTTAAACATTAGTCGTATGTTAAACATTTGTCGCGTTGCTTGAAATTCCCAAAAAGTTCTGCATTGAAAACGAGATAAATATATATTTGGATGTTGAAGAGAGTGAAAGCGAAGATACTGAGTGCAAAAAGTTCAAGTAACGCGAACAAACCTTTTGGTGGCAATTTGAATTTTGAATCTGCGTGAATTCTGTGATTATCTTCAAGAACCACGTTGGACCACGTTGTTTGATCGAAGTACATAAAATGACGAAGGTATTGAAGAGAAAGCAACAGGAAGAAGTGGAAAAAGAAAATGAACCGAAAAAGATAATGTCAGATGAACCTGCTGCTAAAAAGGTAAAGGAATAACTTAGATTTATATTGTTACTTTTTTTACCTAATCTTTAAATTATATTATAAAGTACATTCTAAATAAAAATGTTATATTTTAGAAAATGTATCAAGCTTTTTTTAAGAAACATTCAACAAAAATCCACTGATTCAATAATTAGGAAAATCGATTAATTTTCACAATCAACACTTTATTTTCTGTAATCTCTATGGTTATGTTGCAGTTCATCTATCAATCAAAAATCAAAATTTAAAAAAATATAATTTTTCTTATAGATAAAATGGATCAACAGACAACGAGTATTGGTCTTTGCTACTTGAGGTATCAATCATAGGCATCGACATCTTATGGAAGATTTGAAAAAGCTAATGCCACATCATCGTCCAGAATGCAAGATGGAACGCACTAAAAACTTACAAGTAGTGAATGAAATGTGCGAGATGAAGAATTATAACAAGGCTATTTTGTTTGAAGGACGAAAAAAGCTCGATCTTTATGTATGGTTTGCTAATGTGTCCACTGGTCCAAGTGCAAAATTTCTCATAGAAAATAGTATGTATTATTCCTATAATCAGACTGAGAAATTATGTATAAGAAATTAACTGTACACACCTGATTCATTTTATCTGCAGTTTACACAATGGGAGAACTGAAGATGACAGGAAACTGTTTAAAGGGATCACAGCCATTATTATCCTTTGATGAAAAATTCACCACACATGCACATTACAGTCTTTTGAAAGAGCTATTAACGCAGATTTTTGGTGTGCCAAATCATCATCCTACAAGTCAGCCATTCTTTGATCATGTGTACACGTTCAGCATTCTGGACAACAGGATATGGTTCAGAAATTTCCAAATTTTGACCGAAGATGGTGGATTAGCTGAAATTGGACCAAGGTTTGTCCTGAACCCAGTCAAGATATTTGCTGGAAGTTTCGGTAATGATACTTTATGGGATAATCCACATTATATTTCTCCTGCCAAGGTAATAAAACATTCTTGTATTTGATGAATGTAAAGTTGCATAATTTATTTTATTACATATGCAAAAAAATCATGCCTTTTATCTGTTTACAAATTTTAGTATCGGCAATCATTGACGAAGAAAGCTGCCAATAAATACTTAAACAGAGTGGAACAGAAAATGGCACAAAAGGCAAACAAGCCTGATGAATCTTATGCACTTAATCCTACAGATGAGATATTTAAGGGTGATGTATTGGAGAAAGCAAAGGAAATAGAAGAAAAACTTGAGACATTTGATAAAAGTGAAAATATGGAAAAGATTATGAAAAAAGATAAAGGAAAGAGCAAGGAACGAGCGCGGCAGTGGAGATACGTCGAGCGGCGCCGTACGTATATTTCGCCCGCTGCACCGGGATACGTACACGCACCTTCAGCAGCAGCGTATATACCCGCACCGCTGGTAGCACCAGGGTATATGCCCGTACCGCTGGTAGCACCAGGATACATGCCCGCACCGCCGGTAGCACCAGGATATGTGCCCGCACCGCCGGCAGCACCAGGATACGTGCCCGCACCGCCGGCATCAGCCTACATGCTCGCACCGCCGACAGCACCAGGATACGTGCCTGCTTCGGCGGCAGCACCAGGATACGTGCCCGTTCCGGCGGCAGCACCAGGATACGTGCCCGCTCCGCCAGCAGCACGAGGATATGTGCCCGCTCCGCCGGCAGCACCAGGATACATGCCCGCTCCGGCGGCAGCACCAGGATACGTGCCCGCTCAACCAGGATTTCTACGTTATTTCTAAATTTTGTACAAATCTTGTACAAGGCACTCTTATAAGAATGTAAGAGGGTAATCGTCATCGCTATAATTGACTCGAAAAAGGAGTTAAAAATGTTGAATTACATGCGATTATATTTTCTACATATTTCTTTTACTTTTTATATATAACTATATAAAAGTTAAAAGAAATATATAAAAATATAATCGCATGTAATTCAACATTTTTTACCCTATTTTTCGAGTCAATCATAGCGATGACGATTACCCTCTTACATTCTTTTTACAAGAGTGCCTTGTACAAGATTTTAGAAAGCGCATAAAATAAATAAAAAAAATAAATCTCTAAAAAAAAGATTGATGTGAACGCGTAGACATTTTATAATAAAAATGTATGCATTTATAATAAAAAATAAATTTATATTAAGAAATAAATCTCTCTCTGATACATGCTCATATAAATAACAAATATCAAATTTATAAATATCTCTCTCTCTATCTCTCTGTCTCTCTCTGTCTCTCTCTCTCTCTCTCTGTCTCTCTCTCTCTCTGTCTCTGTCTTTGACTTTCTGATACATGCTCACATTATAAATAATAAATATCAAGTTTACAAATATCTCTCTCTGTCTCTCTCTCTCTCTCTCTCTTTGTCTCTCTCTCTCTCTCTTTCTGTCTGTCTCTCTCGAAATGTTCGTTCAAAATAAGCGAGTGATTTTCGAGAGAGAGATTGTGCGTGCGTGTGTGTGTGTGCATGCGTGCGTGAGAAAGAGAAAGAAGACACGCATCAGTAATATGTGTGTGTGATGTATACATGTATATTACCCTATACATGTATATAACTCTGCATGAAAGAGACGAAGATAATATGATTGTCTGTCCTTGTCAACTACACCGATTACAGCTCTCTCTATCGCGATATCACGCAACTAATTTTTTGCTCTGTTTTATTCCTCAGCCTCATCTCGCACACACACATATAAATGAAATATTTCTATATCGAAATCTTTTTTATTAGACTTCTAAACTCATTTCTGCAAGTTCACTGATACTCCTTCATGCAATCTTTAGGGCGAAGTACTCTTATTTCGAACGTACAAATTGTAAAACTTTTATATTAAGTAAGTATTGTGAGCTGTCATGAGAAGCTAATAAAAAAACTTGAATTTTCTAATTTTTTGTCATTTTACATTAAATTCGGATCACTTCGCACTAGATTATTATATTCACTTTAATCCTGGAAAAGCTTTTTTTATTCTATTAAACCAATAAAAAGTTCTCGATATATAAAAATTTTTGTCAGAACTCGATATAGCAAAATGATAAACAGATTTTTCCATTTTATTATTTTATTCATATAATATATAATTTTATGAAGAACAATTAAAAACAATCTCATAGTGTATCATCCACATATAATGCTATCAAGTAAATATAACAAAATCATTTTCATTGATTGCGTTGTGCATATTTGTGTTGTGCTCTTAAAAAATTCTAAAAATTAAACATATAATTAAGTAATACAATATATATATATATAA